AAGGCTCCATATTTTTTTCTGAATTATTCCATCTATGTGGAAAATATGTCCACACTCAAATGTATTTGAAAAAAATTATATACTTCAAGACCCAATTCCAATGGTTTCTTCCTTTTAAAGCTTTTCTTATTCCTTTAAACAGGGTTGAATATTCCTTTTCTGCCACTCCTTACTCTGTATTTATTTTTCTCTAGTAAAAATGTCTATTACTCTACATTTTAATAGTGGTCTGTCTTGCTGACTCTCAGACAAAATCTTATGTTGCTCATTTCTGTATCACCAGGAGCCAGGGTAAAGGGTTACTATAAACCAAACCAAACAAACTGCCTTGTCAATTCTGGTTCAGAGTGATGCTGTATGACAGAGCAGAACTGATCTCTAGATTTTCCAAGGCTGTAAATCTTTAGGGGAGGGTATAGCCTCATCTTTCTTCTTCAGCATGGTTTGTGGGTTAGAATTGCTGAACTTGCAGTTAGCAAACCAGTTAGTAAGCCACTGTCCTACAAGGGCTCTAGGCGTTTCCAGACAGTAGGAGTATAAGTTATTTCCTTTATTAATAATAGGCTCAATGCATTTCATTTTAGCTGATGATTCTTGGCCAGATTCAGCAGTTCACATTGTTGGTAAAGAAAAATGCCACAGATATAATGACATTGCGAATTTGTTTGAAAGTAGCAAAGGGAACTATACATGAGCATTTTAAGAGAAAAAGACATTTGTCAATCTAAGAACTGCTCAGTTGATATTTTATCCTTTATAATAAAAATATTTATAAGAAAAAAATTTAAAGGATACATCAACCAAAAAAAAAAGAACACTTTTAGTAACAATCAGGGCTGCAGGCTGACAGGCGGTCTTCTGAATGATGGCTCCTCAAGGGCCACCGAACATAGGATCTTGCAGATTCCCTGGAGCGGACACGGTAGTCCGCAGGGGAAATCTCTAAGAGGGGAAAGGGCAAACGTTGCCTTTGTTAAATAAAGCCTAGATGGATGCAAGCAAATTTCTGAATGCCTGACAATGTCACATGTGTGCGAGCAAAGAAGCCTGATATTGGAGACGCAGCTCTTCGTGAGTCAGAGCTAAAGAGAGGACCGTTTTTGATTGCATTGGAATGCCTTGTGTTATTCGAAACGATCTGGATTAGTTTCTAAATACTCAGCCGTAAGCTAACCCTATGGAATGACTTTCAACCTTTGATTAGAGAGGGAGTACAGACGCTTAGGGAAAGCAATGAGAGCAGAAGGAGTTTCCATGACACAAATAAAACACAAAGCGATCTTAAATGAAGTGAGCAAGGATCCCGATCCCGTGAGGAAGTAAGATTAGAAAACAGTTCAACAGAGCTTTTCTTGAGATTCTGAAGACAGACTTTATTAGATGGCTGGTTCAGAGCAATTTCTTGATCATGTGATGGAAATGAAAGGTCACGTGAAAGTAAATATAACCAGATATAGACGAAAGTAAATATAGCCAAATGAACAATAAATGTCCATTTTATATGTTGCTAGTTTATTTTGTATTTCTTTATTCTAAGATTTGGAAAAAATAATTTCTCTCTCTATAGATAGGCATTTTCACCAAGATATTTTCCATCTTTAAAGCAAAATTATAGCATATCTCTTTTATGAAACTATGTTTCCCTGTAAGTTACTACATTCCAGGCACCAAAATAGTAATATACATTTTGTTAGTTCTTAATTAGAAACTTTCTCAAATTTGACACTGTCATTTCTCTTTTTCCTCTTTCAAATTACTGCTGATGGTTATTTATCTTTTTTCACCCTTGAAATGAACCTAAAACTGAGACCCCCATGAAAACTATGTCCATTATTATTTTGAGATTCGAGTAAAGAGAACTTTCTATTCCAACTGGCATTCTACAATTTTATCTGCACTCTGATCAAACTTAGCATATGGTGCAGCTTTTTGTTGTTGTTGTTATTTTTCTGCAGTTACTGCAAACTCATTTATAAGTTAAACAAGCTGTATGCATCTCTAAATTTTATAACTACAATCTTTGAGACATAACCCTGAAACTCCACTGTCTCCGAACCAGCCCCAATCCTTGAGAAAAGAGGTGGTGACGTGTGGCCAACAGCAGTTGTTTGCCACTTTCAGTGGGTTCTCTTTCAGCTACTTCATTGTAAAAACAGGTTGACATTGAAAAGGTGATGCTGCGTGGTCATCTGATTGTTTTTCAAATTTTCTTCATTATTGTTATTATTTGGTCAAGATCACAAAGTTAGCAGAATTTCTCCACTTCCTGGTTTATTTTACATTCTGCATTTCCATATAAACTCCAGGGTGTCACATTCATAAACAAATCCAGTATGTATCTGACTGGTTATTAGTTTATGCTAATAAGTCACAGAGCAACCAGTTTTTTTTTAAAAAATCCCTAAGGAAGAAGGTTCTTCTCTACTAAAGTGTTGTGCGCACGGAGCGAAAATCACAATGGGTAATGCTCACTACCATCAAGTTAGAGATGCCGCTGGACGGACATGCAGCACTTCATCATGTTCAGGGTTTTAACATTGGTTTAGATAGACTAATGCAAAACCAAGATGAATCTAACTCCACAGCCATGGGAAATGCGAGAAGATACTAGACGCTACTATGGGGAAGAGAGAACGAGTACTTTTGGTTCATGTTGGATTAACTCTATGAACTGGTAATGTCTCTTTAACATGAAAATTTCTTTGAAATGATTGAACAGGAGCAGATTAGTGACTAGGAATTGAAAAGTACTACTAAACACTGAGAACTTAGTATGCTGCTCTATGGTTTGTTTTAACCTTTCGTTAAATGAAATTTTTAAATTATTCTTGTTTTCGCTTTAATTTAGCTAATTTTACTTATGTCTAGATCCATGCAAATTATTCATGAGTTATTTATAATATTATTTCTTCAGTAAATGACTGTGAACCACTTGAAAAATAAGAGGTGCTATGTTTACACAACGATGGGACCACAGAGGTGGTGCTGGATGGATAGTCCTTTGGTGGCAAAATGAGAAGAACTCTGTTCTTTGGCTCCTTTCTCCAGATTTAGAAAATTGATCCAAACTATTACTTTCTGAGGCTGCTGCAAGGATTTCCCATTCTTCCATGCTGTGACCTCCTTGCATCCTACAGATGGGAGTATCTGCAATAAGGTCTCCTCTGGGGGGGGGGGGGAATAGGTGGGAGGGGGGAAGTATCAGCTTTAGATCAGCTTTATCAGTATTAGACCTAGTCCTAGACATAGGGCTTTGTATAAAATCATAAATGTTCTCTAGCACTACAGTGAGCCCTCGTTTATCGCGGTTAATCGGTTCTAGACCCTACCGTGATAAATGAAATTCCGCGAAGTAGGATTCCTTATTTGTAAATCAAATATTTTCGTAGTTAGAGCATAGAGGATATGAAAAAACACCCTTTAGTCACCATTACACTCATATTACCCAATTTATTAAACGAAAAAGGGAAAATACAGTAAAACATTTTAGACATTACAATTATCATTTATTATTTATTATATTATTTATGGCATCTAGTTTACAGTATTACATATTTCACATACAGTATTATTATACATAGTTCTTACAAATACTGTAATCAATAGCCTATGAAATGACTTAAGGGATGTACTCTACAGGTGGGTCACCGTCTTTTTCCTCTGAAGGAGTGGGTGTAGGCAGTGGGTGCTGTTACGCAAAAACCGCGATAGAGTGAAGCCGCGGAAGTCAAAGCGCGAAGTGGCGAGGGTTCACTGAATTTCCGTCTTTGTTCATTAAGTTTCCTACCTTATTAATCCATTTAAGCACTTCGCCATGTACCAGTAACTGTGGCAGAGCCACTGACTCGAGACAGACCATCTTCGGTAGAAATAGCTGTGGCAGCACTTGATCGAGACTCAGACTTTGAAATACTACACTTGGCTTCATGATCACTGAAATTTACAAAGTCAGGAAGAGCTCAACGAAAAGCAGCGAGTGAAGACTAAAGTTTAAGTGTGAGAATGTACTAGGTTGAATATGAGAATTAAATGAGAAGTGTAGGGAAACCTTGATTATTCCAGACTTGGCTACAGTTTGTGATTATCAATGCCCTTTGATTCTCCTTCTCCTTCCAGCCACCGACTATTGAATATTTCTCTGCTCATTAACACCTGTCTAAGAGTGGGAAGGTGACATGCTAATCAGCCAATTTGGCTAATTGTTAGCTGTTATGATCTGCTTTTTATTTATTTATTTTTAAATGGAGGTAGAGAAAAAAATGGAAATCTTTTGCTAAAATGTTGGCTGTGAATTTCCAAACTTGATATTGCCTTCCCTTTATTTGAGCACATAAAGGCAGGTATTTTGTTTTCAGTGAGATATTAAAGATATCTAGAAATACATTGACTCTCAAGTGTCATAATAAAATTTAATGTCCAGAATTTTTTTATTAGCTAGTCTTTGAAAAATCCTACTTTCCAACACAGTGTCTCGAAGGAAGCTTCAGTATTTAAGCTTGCCATTTTAAGCGTAGCCCTATAGAAATAACTGCACATGCTGAGCAGGCTTGGACCAATAAGGAGTCAAATTGGAGAGAATGACGTAAGATGATCGTCTCCTTTGCCTCTGCTAGACATTAGAGGACCCTCCCCAAACCAAATAAGGGAAGGAGGAATGTCCCGAGCATTAAGGGCACTAAGAATAAATCTGAGCCATCAGGGATAAGATTACTTTCAACTCTTTATTCCATGTTTTCTGACATATCCCCAAGATCTGTAATTATCTTAAGGAAGCTGTGGGGGCTTAGACAGTGCTTTTTAGTTCCTTTGACTTCTTCTTCAGCCCCCGCATGTCTCTCTCTCTGGGGCTGGAGTGTGCGTGTGTGCGTGTGCGTGTGCGTGTGTGTGTGTGTGTGTGTGTGTGTGTGTGTTTTCCTCTAGAGTGCCAAAAAAAAAAAAAAAAGTGCTGAAGAGTCCTAGGGAGATGAGGCTATTTTTGTTTGAAGCTGATACTTCTGCCTGAGCCACAAGTACTGATTGGAAAGGGCTCAGGTTGTTTCCAGGGGGAGAACTCTGCAGAGAAGAGACAAAGTTCAACAGGATAACAAAGACGCAGCAGAAACAGCCAGGAAAACGGAGAGCCCTCACAGTACCACACAGAACCCCCTATCAGAGTTCTCGGATCCTAAAGTATTCTGCCAAGGACCACTGAAACGGAACTTTTCACCTGACTTTGACTTTCGACGACCGCTATGACTGAGATCACTGCTGAAGGTATTGCTAGCATTTTCCAGTAGCATCAACTAGGGGAGGGGAATGAAACAGACAGTCACATTGACTGGCAATGTGACCATGTAAAATGTGCTTGGAGGTCATTTTTTGTTTGATGGGACTCTACACACTTCTGAGCAGTGGACTTAGGGGCTGAGAGGCTGGCAGATCATGGTGTTGTGGGAGGGAGAAGTGGCTTCTCTGTGAAATTTTGCATGTAGAAACTGTTCTCTGCTTTGCCAAAGGCCCTGCTAGCTAACAATTGTCACCCACACCTCTATAAATAGCTACGGTCATGTAAAATGATGGCAGATATCTTACCTAACAAAGACTATTACAAGGTTTGCAAAGACAGAGACCCTGATGTCCTAGACCAATTATATTCAATGATTAAACATACTGAATGATCTGTGAACATGGTTGTGTTATGAGTTTTTAAAATCAGGAGCTGATATTTGTGTTTCCTTCATAGAACACATAAACATACACACGCTCCTCATGTCTACATACAATTTAAGATGTCAGTGCTGCTACAGAATTTATGTGTGCTTGTGTGTGATTATCATTGGTCGAAATTAAGAGCTAGTGTTTGATATTTGACAAAATCAATAATTTTTTCTTAATAAAAGCAGATATATATTAGAACTCTCTGATCCTTTTCACAATTTCAGTTCTTTTTCCTTTAAATGATGAATTTGATCTTTTATAGCAAAAATAAATGTTTTCTGTTTCATAGCTTATTCTGAGAATACACCCATGGCAACTAAAATATTGTTTCTATTATTTATTCTTAGCAGCACTATTCATATAAGCACATATCTGTCCATACAAGTATAGATCTTTACATACACACATACCCACGTGCTTGAATGAAAGAACCCCTTTAAAATCAAGACACTTTGTGTGTAGACATAACTCACTTCCAGTTGCATAAATGTTTGGGAGGTGGATCTAAACTTGGCTTCTGACAGCTGGAAGAAAATCAGACAGGTGGTGCTTTTGACAGCTTCCAAGTTGAATACCGAGCGGGTTTGTTTTCAGCAGAGAACTGCAAAATAGATACACGGTTGGGGCTCGTTGAGTCAACATTAATATAGACACACAGAGATTGCAATGTCGTGGATTTTCCGGTCAATATTTAAAGGGAGTGCCTTACCGATACATTCCACTGAGAAAATTAGCCTAGCACCCCAAAATAGTAAGAAGGATTCCCAAGAGAATGTTATGCATTAGGTGTTTTACTCAGAGTTTTGATATTTTTACTTATTGAAGTCTTCATAGTGGAACCAAACAGGCATTTCTATCTCCATTTGGCTTAAAAAGAAACCGGAACTAGAATGTTCAGTGATTTGTTCAGGACCTGCGCACTTCGGAGATGTGAAATCAACTCCTTAAAGTTACTTATATATATATTTTTTTTTTCTGTTGTAAGTTGATACCAGGTTTGCTCTTTACCAATTTTAGTCCAGTCTTCTCTTACTAAATATAAATTGGATTTTTTCGTATTCCTTAGATGTTGTGTCATGTGGCCTTTAACTTCTCTAAAAGAGAGGTAATGATAAGAACATCTTGCATAGGTCTGTACCAGTTACTAAGATAATATTACTATGCGTGTTGGAGCCCTGATGGCACAGTGGGCTAGCACTGAGCTGCTTCTAACTGTGAGGTTAACCGTTCAAACGCAGCAGTCACTGTGAAGAAGAAAGATGAGGCTGCAAAAATTTAGAGTCTAGGAAATCCACTGTGATACACCTTCTCTGCATTATAGGTTTGCCATGTGTTGGAATCAACTCGACGACATTGAGCTTGGGGTTTGTGAGCATCATGTTTCCCTAAGTCATCATAGGAGAGGGATACCTTGCTAATTGAGGAGGCCCTTTACTCAGACCATTTTTCAATTTTGGTAAAATTCCTGATTGGAAGATAGAAGTTTATTTCCATTTTTTCCCTGGGAACTTTTAAGTAAGGGTCTTTGATAACCTCCTGGACTTACCCATGAAAAATTAGTTGAATTCATATGAACAAGAAATGCTAAAACATGGTCTCTCGGGCAACAATCACCTCCTACTCTCTCTTCTTAGTAGATAATAAAGTCTATGGGCATCAGTCCTCCAATTTTCTCTTTTCTGAAATGATTTTTAAATAAAAGATTTCAAAATAAGGATCTCCCAAAGATAGACTGCCAATTCAACTGAATTTACCTTTCTAGTTAGTATCACAGTCGTTCCCTATAGTTGACCTAAGTTCTTTGGCATTGCTCTATTGGACATTTTTAAATTTTGTCTTCATGCTCTTCTTGTCTTTTATAACTAGCCACATAAATATCAATTTTCTTCTTTTGGATTAGTGCTGTGATTTTGTCCAGAGGTATGGTGCTAATTCCTCAGCCTAGAATACTATTTTATGTAACCTTCTCTATTATTTTACCACCACATTTGACACCTTACGGAAATGTAAGAACCCCATCAGTTGACTGGTGATATCTGACAATTACCCTTTCCATCCACTTATCAGAAATCAAAGGAATCCTGGAGTCACAGTGGGTTACACGTTAGGCTGCTTACCCAAAGGTCAGCAGTTCAAGGTCTTTGGAGTTGGAATTCACTTAAAGACAGTGCGTTTGGGGTCTTATATAAATTAAACAAACATGGCAATATTTAAGAAAGATGGAACTAAAGTAGAAATATAGAGAGTTCTAGACCAATGACTTCATTGAAATTTGGGGGCAATTGTGGTTATAGTATGTGATCCTCTTGTGGTCACTGATAATTAAGCCAGGTCTGAGGAAACAATCCTTGTGTTCTGTGCTCACTGCAGTGGCTGTGCGTGCTCTAGCCAATGTATCACATTCCTCTGGTATCCTGCCACTGCATGGTCCAAGCTGGAAGAATTTGTTGGAAGAAATAAAGGGCATAATACTAGAAATGGGATTTTATTCCAAGGGGAAAGCAGTAGATAAATTATAACGAAGACAAAAAAAAGCTTGCAAAATGATATTATAAAAACAGCTTATTTCATTCTGGTAAAGATTAATAAATATAATTATTATGTTGCCAATAATTTTAACATTTCACACATATTGAGAAGTCATATAGATGAGCATTGTATTAACCTTAATAAGTGTTTTCTTTATTCTTCGGGATATCGCCATGAGATACTCTTAGTATTGATATTCATGGAAAGGAGTCAAAGGTTTAAGGAAGTTTAGTATTTTCCCTAACTTCACACAACTTTCCTTGGAGTAGCATGGATTAGTGCCCAGGTCTCTGCACTGGAATCTTGCTTACTATTTTCTCTTGCTGTGCAAGACTGATAATTAGACTGCTGTCAATTGAAGGTTGGCAGGGACTTATGCTAAACTCATGCCCTCCTTTGGCCCATAATGCCTTCAGTAGGTTATATCAGCCCCACCGGATTAGACTCAGAAAACACTCTGCTTGGTGGCTGTAAATAGCCGTCTACCTTCCTTGCAGCGGCCCAGTATTTTCTTGACAGGGACCAGCATTAGCACGCTTTCCTGCATGTCACATGGACCTTCAGCCACCAGTTTCACCATCTATGTCATCACAGAACTTAGGGTAATTTTGACAACGAAACAGTCGAGTTAATTCTTTTTTTTTTTTTTTTGAGTTAATTCTTTTAACCATGTGGGAAACATAATGGAGTCATTAAAAATGGCAAAATATGCAATGTTCTCAAATTACAGTTAAATTATAATTGATAAGAATGTGTTTATGTAATTGTATTTTCCAGCTGTAAGGAACTCAAAATATGCATGTAAAAATTGTTACATAATGAATTCAAGTTGATGTAGGTCCTCCGGGTACTTCTCTTAGCCTTTGCTAAAACCTCTAGTTAAAGGAAATCCTTTATTTAAAAAGTTAGAAGAGCTTATGTCTAATGCTTAGCTTCTGAGCGATTGTGAAGTATATTACTAACGGAGCGCTTTCTTTGCAATTAGTTGCATGGAATTTCAAAGCTCTGGAAGAATCAAATCGATGAAAAGATTTTATATTCAAAACCTCCAACTAAACTGGGCATTTATTTTATGCAGTGCACTGCTTCAACCAGCCCTGCATCACAAGAGTAGCCGTTACTGCTCTCAAAAGCCATCAATCCTTTCCAGGGGAGTTATTTTACAACTATGAACACAAGTTATAGCCTACAGGACGATAAAACGAAGAGAAGCAAGAGAGGCAAAGTGCGTATCAGAGATCGCCTCAGCACAGCCAGGAACAGCTTCTCTGGCCTGCAAGGACAGGGCTGTGTGGAGGGAGAAGGGGAAACACCAGCTTAGAGCTTCAGTTGCTTCCAGGTTATATTCTGATCTAGAAAAGCAACCGGTCACTTTAGTACTGGGAACACAGTTTATAGTTGAAATTGATAGGTCAGTATATTTGGAGGAAGAAGTTCAAGATGGTTCGGAGCATACTTAAATGAAAAAAAAATATGCACAGGGCTTTATATAGAAGATTGGATTTTTCCCCCGGTGTGTTCTCCTAGAGGCCAATGCAAAGAAGCATAGATAGGCATCTTTCAGGCACAGAAAATGCAAACTGTTTGCAAAACACAAGGTGAAACCAAACCAATCATTGCAATTATATCTAGACATGGCTTTTGTGCGTCAATAAAAAGGAGAGAATGAAGTGAACAAAAAAACACAGCTTCCAATTTTCAAGAAATTAAAGATAGGGGACTTGTTCAAATCCTCACACTAGGATACAGTCCACCGTTGAGACATGAGAATCTTTATGGTCCAAATGATTTCATTCCTTTAAATAAATTACCAGTGGCAGAAAAGAGATGCCAAGAAAACTTATGAATCAAATGAAATTTGCAAGAAAAAGCAACCCTTCAAAAGTGAGGCATAATGGGATTATCACTTCAACAAACAACTCTACCTCATTGCAATGAAATAATTAACACTTCAATACACTCTGCATGTTAGATTATAGTAAAGAATTCTATGGTTAGTTCAAGGTGGTTATATTTCTATACTAGCT